GATGTTGCTAAGATGCGTGTAGCAGTTAAATGTATTGATGTTTCAGAAAGAGAATGTGAGTTTAATGCCATGCTGATTGTATTATTGGGGAAAAAACCTGCGGTTTTCTACCACCTTGCTGTTACAGGATAGGTCAGTTTTCATTATTAAGCTTACAATGTTAAGGTCTTCATTCAGAAGTGTCTGAAAGGTAGATTTCTGGGTCCATAGGGAAATTTCTGGGTTCCTTCCACTGGCCCAGGTGGCTTTATGCCAGACATGTTCCTAATTCCTGGTGGGACCGTGGTGGGAAAGGACTATCGGGACACTCTTCTGTATTACACATGGGACCATTTGCTCCCTCAGTAGCCCTGAAATCTTAAATGCGGAAAGGAGCGCCGTTGGTCTCCACTTAATGACATTCCCAGTTCTGCAACAAACCTTGTGAGAAGGGAGCGTGCTGTATAGATCAAGGAGAGAAAGTCGTGAGTGTTCAACAGATTTACTGGAAAACAAGTGATTTGAAAGGCTGAGGGAGGGCGAGCTGAGAAGCATTAGTAAATAACACTTAATGAGGTACTCAGGTATGCCTCACTCCCACTGAAGTTGGACGTTTTGCCACTGATTTCAGGGAAAAATTAATAACTTTTAAACTTCTTCTTATTAACATCCAGGTGGTATGAGGTACAAATGTTTGCTTGTCTATTCACTTTTGGATATATCTTTTCTGAAGATGATAATACCATTTTTATGAGTAAAATGAGCAGGTTTTGCCCTTTGCACAATCTGACCCTTTCAAATATCTCTGCAAAATACAAGCTGTAAAATGAAAACTGTTTTTCCTTCCACTTCAGTGGGGTTTTATAAGGTCTTTATCTTGAGTTTAAAATGACAAGTCATTTTAAAAGAGCAGCATCTGGTGCAGAGCAATTGCCAACTTAATATTTTTTTTAATATTTTTGGATACAGATGATAAAATATTTTAAAAGGAAAAAATATACCAGGAACAGCTCATATATTTCTTTTACCTAAAATTGAATTTTCAGTATGTGAAAAGTTTCTGTAGCAGCTTCAGTGATAATGTGAGAAATGGTGTATAACATTGTTATTTTTAAAAAACAGCACCTTTATTGCACTTTTTTGTTGTGAAATATTGAAAGTAGAAAAAGGATCCTCTTCGTTCTCATATTTGCAAATAGCCTGATGAAATTTAAAATCAAAGCACTTAGCATATATGTGAGGTATAAATTTATTCCTCTTCTCCTTTTCTGTAGCAATAGTTTGAATAAGATAACCAGTAATACTGGTTTTGTCATGCAGCCCCAGTAGGGCTTTCTTAAGTTACCAAATCAAATCAGACATTCCTGAGATCCACATTTATCTTTATGTTCAAAGACAGCTACTTCCCTTGAATTATTTGTAGCTGTATGACTTTCCCTTTGGAGGTAGAGTTCCATAGGAAACAACAGACAGTTCTAGTATCTTTAGTGAGAAGCTCCAAACCCACCTTCAGGCAGGCTCCGTACTGTCCTGCCGAGGCAGCTCGAGGAAAGGAATGGTCTGGCTTGCAGTCACCCCCAGTTTCTCCCAGGCTCTGCATATCAGTGCAACCTGCAGGGTTCAGATTTTTTTTTTAAATCAGACAGTGTTTCTTCAGGTGCCCTGTCCTGCAGAACACTGAACCGGGACCCGTGTGGTACGAACCGATGATTTCAGGCTATTGGTGTGTGTCTGTAGCCCACGCTGGAGTGTTGCTGTAGGCCAAGCTAGACTGCAGTTTGTCTTGTAGGATCAGCCCTAAATGCCTAAATTCACCTTCAGGAGCCCAAACCTTTATGAAGCAAAGTTTGTAAATGTTGGATCAGTCCTGTGTCTGTTCCTCAGCTCTGCGTAGGTTCCCTGCCACTGTCGGAACTAAACTAAGGCTCTGAATCCAAGTATTTCCAGCTTCGAAATACTTGCACATAGAGTAGGATCTACTTCTGTCAGTAACATGCTGTCCTCTTGATGCACAGGGGAGTAGAGTGACTTCAGGCATTTGTTTTAAATATATTACCTTAGAAATAGACAGGAAGAAATTGCACAGAGAACACATTTTCCTCATTTAAGTTCAAAAATAAATATAGCTGTAACCTAAACATGTATTTATCAGTACTGGCACCCTTTGGCCTTAGTCCAGTGGACTTTTCTTACTGACATCAGTAGGAAAAAGATGGGCTCTGCATAGGAAATCTGTGAATATTTTTTTCTTCTTCATCCATCCATCTATTTTGGGATGTGCTAAATGCTTGTTCTCTGTTGTAACATTAACATCAGTATGTGGAAACTTGGGTTGCTAAAATAAATCAGTGAAATGCAATATACATGACTTCACATGGAACTGCATGTACATTGTTGAGCACAAGCGCCCCGCGTCCGCTCTGCCACGCCAGCTTTACAGCCAGGTACACCCTATTGTGTCCCACAGAAGTGGGGTGCCGTAGTGAGGCAGGCAGGAACTTTGGACTGTCGATATGTATAGAGTCTCTGTGGTTTCTGAGCTGGCAAAATATTTCTTGGTTGCTATTTAAATGACAGTAAAATTGATGCTTTTACCAGCCTCAGAGTATGGGGATGGCAAGGTGTACAGTATTTCACAAAAGCATCTTCTGATCTTTTGCATTATGGGCCTGATCGAGTGTTTGCTGGAGGCAATGGAAATTTTAAGGTCGATGTGCGAGGCATTGATTTGTGAGGCTCTAACTGTCTCTCTTTAGTTTTGTAAGTTCGTGATACTGGCTTCAAACTAACCTGGGGCATTTTTCTGACCTTAGTAGAGACCCTCCTGATTCATGCTAGTATGAATTAGCACATTCTTAAGTTAATTTAATTTTTATTTTTAATGAAAAAATGAAAGGGGTAATCTCAACCTTTATGTGTTAGACTGGTTTTCTGCCCACAGTGAATCAATGGGAGACCTTTACAAAGCTGGACTTTGATGAAGGTGTTGAGGGGCCAGTCCTGCCTCAGAGTCCTCTCCGATCCATCGGAGCCTGGCCTCCTCTGCAGAGTGTCTTCATGCCTCGACGCCGATTTATCATCCACCGTGGTCACAAGTGCACGGATGAGGAAGGGATCCCTTGTGGCTTCTACCTTCCCTGCCCCTCTAGCTTTAGATAAGACAGCAAGCTTGGAGCATGCCTTTGCCCCAGGAGGAAGGAGAAGCAAGTGCGTTGCTCTGTTCCACACAAGGCTGCTCACTCCTCTCCATGGAGCAACGATTTTCAAGGCCCCCACGACTAAAGGAGTGGGAGACATTCCCATGGAATTAGCTGTTCCCTCTTTCTTCTTCCTGCTTAAGAGGTAAGAGCTGCACAAATTCCCTCTTTAATAGTCACCTAAGAAAGAATACAATGACTGATCTATCATCAAAGTATTTTAGAGCTGATGATGGTATCTGGGTTGGGTTTGGGGGTGTTGGGTATTTTTTGTTTGGTTGTTTTTTTTTTTTTACTTTGATTTTTAAATAAAAAGCCATCAATCACAGGGATATGACAAGAAATGGGTTGTTTCGGACTGTAGGTGCTGGTTATTCTTGTTCAAATGTGCAGAAATGCCCTGATGGTTACTTTACCAATGACAACCTGCTCAGGGCTTAACATTTTTCAGTTTCATGGCAAGCTTGCAAGGTTACACATATATACTGAATGAAACATAGCCCACGTGTTATTTTTAGAGAGGCTCTAAACAAGAAGTAAATCCCTAGAGTAATGCTGCCAGAGATGCATAAAGTTCAAATCCAAATTAAAGGTGCCTATCTTTGGCCTAAATTCTGACCTGAACTTGAAAAAAAATGTGACTTACACCTTGAACTTTATGACAAAAAAATCCTTTGCAATTATTTTCTAATACCCGAGAATATATGAACTTGGTATAAACACTCAAAAATTAGAACTTGAACAAAAAAATATTTGTCCAAGCATGTAGTACCTGGTCTTTTGAGATACTGTTGTATGACTTCAAGTTTTGGTAGCTGCACTGGAATTTGGAGAGCCTAATTTGTTGTTGATTCCTAGTTCTAACATATCTTTCTAAGATCAGGTCCTATAATGTAATTGTAGACTTGGGGGGGGGAGGGGGAAGAGAAACATGCTTATTTACCTGACAGATCTCTTTGATAATGACCTCTGATGTGCAAGATGGTTTAGAAATCACCAGGGTACAATATGAGGAAAGTAGACCCCTTTTCAGCAATATATTTATGCAAAGTAGTTGAAGGTAGTGCAACTGAAGCACGTTCTTGATTTCTTTGCTGAATCAGAGCCTGTATCTTCTTCCTGCCAAGGCAGTGATCTTAATACCACTCCTAAATGCATGAGTAATTCTAGAAGCCCTAATGAAAGTCAAGATAACACCATAGATTTTATAAATAAGGGTCTTTATTTAGAATACTGTTGAAAACATTCTTGGCAACCACATCGTATAAATATATAAAGTTAAGTTTGACACAACAAACCAAGCAATATTAAATATTTTTACATTTTTCCCCTTTTTGTTTTTAATTTTTGCTTTTGTTTCTTTTTTTTTTTTCTTTCTTTTCCTCTTTGCCCCTCTTTTTTTGCAAAGCAACTCTTATTTACAATTATACAAAAAGTTTTATAAAAAATGGTCCACAACCTTATTTTGGCCAGAACAGGAGTAATAGGAAGGATCTGTCATGCCACTACTGTTGTAGATTTCTATTCTCCTCTGCATTCAAGAGTCAGGTTCCTATTCCCCAAAGCCTGGATTAAACATTGGCCATTTCATGGTATACAATTTTATCTCTAGACATATTAAATAACTTTAGTTTAACAACCAATAAATAACTAGGTGTATTTTGAAGTAATACAGGTTTGAAAAGTTATGTATTTGAAGGAATTCTGAGTGATATTTTAAAACTGGAACAAGTCTTGAGAAGTCTTTTCAGTCTTAGAAGGCAGGTCTCGGAGCTTGGCTGAACAGCGCAATTTGTTTTCAGTGCAGTCCAGCTGGACCTGGTTTTATAGCACTTGGTAGATAGGGTTGCTGCTGCTGTTATCCTGGGGAAGTGGGGTGCAGTTGGTGGGGGAAGGAATTTGGGCTCCGCTATCATTCAGACTCGCTCCTTCTGGGGGGGAACAGGGACTTCCTTCAGCAACAGTTTCCACTGGAGGCAGTATAGGACATGTGGAGTTATCTGTGGAAATCCTCTCTACAATGCTTGAGAGGCAATCGAGGCTGGAAACAACAGAACTCTTCCCATGCTTTGGATCTAAAAAACAGACAAAAAGGTGATGAGTCTATCCAATGGGTACTTAACATCAGCAGGATGTAGTTCTTTCACAAAACCCCAGTGAGTGGCTGACAGAATGCATCTGTGAGCATGTAAAGATTCAGAGGAACTGAATATTGGTGAAGGCCGCCAATTATCAGAGAACAGAGATTGTAATTCGCAAAATGGAAGAGAGACCCAACCACAGGTTGTTACTTTTGGGGCAGGGTGGATCCCGGGCTTCACTTCCGTCCACATAAAGGGAAGGGAAGATTTTAAATCAATTGACAATTTCTCGAGTTTGGATCAATGATAGACAGAGTTAGAAGAGTCTTCATGCAAAACACGGTTAAACACTAAAAATTAGTTGAAGAGAGGAATATATTTTTATCTAGATGTTGTATTTGCAAAACAGGAAATGCAGCTATAACATATCCCTGTATTTGTAAATACATCTAGAGTAAATCCAATGCTTCTCTTAGCATCAACATCTCGCCGGCTGAAGAGGCAGGTTCCTTTCAGCCCAGCTGGGGTCAGCTAAAGAACGGAGCATGGAGCAGGCACGGGGAAGTTTGCTATATTGATTGTGTCCATGTTTCACACAGCTGTTACGGCACATACTCACCATTTGGTGATTCTGTGTAGTAGCTGCTGTCATAGCTGTTTCTTCTGCGAGAGCTGCAAGGAGGCCCACTGTACTCCATCTGGAAATGAGAGCAATCCCAGTGAGGTCACTGGTTGGGGACAGCATTTACTGAAATCCCAGTAACCATTCAATTTTGTATTTCAGTCCCTGGTCTGTGCCACCATTTCAGTCCTGGCTGAAATGCCATCAAGTTGTAGTTTCTTTGAATGAGGCAGAACTTAACTCTACTAGAAGGGGATTCACCCCAGAATATTCTATGTGGCACGGCTGTTCCAAAGGAAAATTACCATTGTTGTTGCATCGAATGCTGTAGCTTTACAAATGAGGTGAGGTTTCCCAGCACTCCGATCAATACTGCCCTACATGTATCTTCAATTTACAACAGGGAGACCAAAAGGGGAATGAGTCTTTTTATGATTTAATTTTTGAAGGTTTTTCCAAACACGAGTTCCTCTTAAAAAGCCCCTAGTCTACCTTTGTCCCTTTTTATTTCCTTTAGCTTCTCTTCCCATTTCCATTTTGTACAGAAAAATCCCCAAAACATTGACCAGTATATTTGTTTCCAATACTTTAATCCACAATGAAATAACTTTCTGACAAAAGAAAAAGGCTGTGTTTTGAGGAGGGATCATTTATGTAAGCTTTCCTATCTGCCAACTATCTCAGAATCACAGATATTCAGCTCAGTAACGATTATCCCCACCAGAGCACAGAAAAAAAATCTCAGGTATTAAAGTGCTGACAAGATCCTATCCCAGACAGCTGTCCTGCACTCCAGTCACCACATCCCACCACCCCAGAGTCCGAGCCCATGGTCCCAGTGAAAAGATGTGGCGATGAGACACCCTCTCTGGCACCCAACCTTCTTCTCCTGTCCCTTTAACATACAAGCAGGACTGAAAGCCTGGGGTCTCCTTCCTATTGCTAGTAAGTGTCTCTGGAGGGCGTGAAGTGAGAGGAGAAATGGAGAACCTTTTACTTAAGGGTCAAGCAAAACAGCTCCTGTTGCTTAAACCCTTCTCCTGTTATCATGACAAACAGCAGAAACTCTTACCAGTTCCCCTGTAACTACCATGACTAAGGGGGACCTTCCCCTCTGCTGTCCTTAGAGGATTCAAAGGTAATGAATAATACAGCAGAAGATGGAAACAGTTGGCCCAGGAGCTACAGAAGCACAGGCAGGGCTCAGACCTCACCATATCCCCAAGGTACCCATCCCAGGCAGCTTCCCAAAGTGCTCCCCCAGCAGCTCTCCCCGGAGATGCAGGGGAACCTGCCTAACTTCTCATCCCAGGGAAAAAAGTGTGTAAGAGATTTTTCTTCTTTCCCAGAGATCCTGGCATGCGGGGACCCCACCTCCCTTTGCTGCTGGAGCTCAAGGCATGAGAAAGGACTTTGTCTTCTGCCTGGGGAGGTATGGAAGGCAGCTGCTATAAGAAAGGCAGGAGGAGGTGACTCGCCCTGCACAGGTTTGGACCAACAGCGTCTGGGGCACCTCGGTGGCAGGGTGTCCTCCCTGGGGCACTCACCATGCCATCGGAGCAGTTGGAGCGAGGGCTGGAGGCATCCGATTCCCCGCTGTAGTGCTCCAGCACCGGGTAGTAAGTGTCCTCCTGCTCCCGCAGCAGCGCCTGCAGGCTCTCAATGTAGCGGATGGCGTTGCGCAGGATCTCCACCTTGGGCAGGCGCTGGTTGGGGTTGGTGGAGGTGCAGCGCTTAGGAGGCAGTGGCCGGCCTGGTGGTGCCCGCTGGGTGCCCGGACGTGCTCCTCCTCATGTGGGTGCCCATGGTGGTGCCCATGGTGGTGCAGGTGCTCCTCAGGCTTCAGCAGGCCCCCCACGTGCACCAGCCGGGGGTCCAGGTCCTCGAAGAAGTGCATGTCCGACGTGTTGAAGCACGGGTCATCGTAGAAGTCATCGGCGGCCGTGAAGGAGCAGAGGGAGCCCTCCGTCATCTCCATGGGGCCCAGTAAGTCCATGAGGGCGGCAGAGGAGACGGCAGCTGGGCCAGAGGGGATCAGAAGAGAGGGGGCTTCGATCGGGCTGCACAGCGGCAGGTACCGGCCAGGCGGGTGCGCGGAGCGGAGGCCCT